TGCAGAGAAGGAAAGCTACCCAACCAAAACACAGGCCAGTAGCCCCAAGGTTGTGCCACACAGTCAGTCTTTACAAGGACCCTCTCTGTCCCCATCCAAGGCTTTATTTCTGATTGATTATCAACCACACTTCTGGAAATGTAGGTCCAGGCTGGCTGACAGATAGGGCCCAGAAATGTCTATTGCTAACCAGGCTCACCTGAGCTTGTGCGGGGATGGGGGGGGGGGAGGGTGGGGGGGGTGGGGGGGCTCTGCAGGAAACAGGAAGCATGTGCTCACCACACGGTGTGGGGCACCCAGGATCCACCCGCAGGCGACATTGTCTGGTGCCCAGGAACCAAGGGAGCTGAGTGGGTCTCAGGGAGCACAGGCCTGCTGAGGGTGGGCGGCCAGGCCGAGCGGCTCTATGGAGCTCAGGCCAGATGGCTTCGGGACATTGCCATGTCAGAACCAAAAGCCAGGAGGTAAGAATAAACACTGTAGTCATATGTAACCTGAAGTTTCTCATTTCCCATTTGGTTATAACCAAGCAGCTAGACATGTTTTTAAACGTACTGTCATGGTTTGCCCAAAGCTGTGGGGAAGGATGACGTGGGCAATACTTCAAGAAAAACACCTGGGAAAACTCATCTTTGAGCTAACAGGACCTTGTTAAAACAAGGAAAATAAGATCTCTTAACAGTGGGCTTTTCTACTCTAAAGAAGTATCTCCTAAATGAAGGCACCGGGCAGCTTCTCAAGCCTATACCATCTGTGTCAATTAAGGAGACCTAATCAAACGCATCACTTCCAAGAGCACGATGAGCCCAGAGGAGTGCTGTCTGTCCAGCAGATCGCTGACGTGCCAGGCGGCTGAAGGGAAGATGCATGTGCAGAGATAAGGACACCTGGCCTGCGTTGAGCCTTGTGCGTCTGCTTCCCGGAAGAGGACCTGTGTCCCTGGGCCTCCGCTGACGCCTGTTGGCATGCGCTGTGGCCTGCTTGTTTCTTTTTTCTTTTTGGGTCACTCCTGGGGCTTGAACTCAGGGCTTGCATGCTCAAGGCAAGCTCTCTACCACTGGAGCCACAGTGCCACTTCTGGCTTTCTGGTGGTTAACTGGAGATAAGAGTCTCACATCCTTTCCTGCCGGGCTGGCTTTGAACTCTGATCCTCCGATCTCAGTCTCCTGAGTAGCCAGGGTGACAGGTGTGAGCCACTGGCACCTGGCTGCTTTTCTGTTTTGCTAAATAAAATTTTGATAAACTTCCCACTTAAATAGACTAATTCTTTTTTTTTTTTTTTTGGGTCTGGTCATGGGGCCTGAACTCTGGGCCTGGGCGCTGTCCCTCAGCTCTTCAGCTCAAGGCTAGCGCTCTACCACTTGAGCACAGCGCCACTTCCGGCTTTTTTCTTTTTGCTTATGTGGTGCTGAGGAATCGAACCCAGGGCTTCATGCGTACAAGGCAAGCGCTCTACCACTGAGCCACCTTCCCAGTCCCTAATTCTTTTTTTTACATGGGCAAGATAATGAGTACATTTCTTATCAAGCATTGTAGCCTCCTCCTTTGTTTCCCCTTCTCATCCCTTCCCATCCTCCCCCCTAGACTAATTCTTAAATTCTGTTCTGTGATGATGAAAAACACCCAAATGCTAGCAACAAATAAAAACTCAGGAACATAGCAACATAGCATGCAAGTCACAAGCTTTGTACCCTGGGTTGAAATCCATGCTCTCTGGGCTGGGCTCCCGATACAGAGGGCTGAGAGGCATTTGGGGCAGGGTCCCTGCAGAGGCCAGCTCCAGGAGAAGGAGGAGGCGGAGGACATGGCCCCTTCACCACAGCCTGGGGCAGAGCAAGAGCCGCCAGCAGGCAGAGGTTGCTGGGTCCATAGCTTCTGCTCCAAGGCTTTGCCTGTGAAGGATGATTGCAACAGCCAGCTAGAACAAGCTTAAGAAATAGAGGCCAGATTATGCAATCTTGTGCCAGATATGGAGCAATCCTTCCTTCTGCCAACTTTCCCCATCAACCTGGATTGCCTCATTCAGGACTACTCAACCAACCCAAATCATAAGGTCCTAAAAATGGCATCATACACTGTTTAGAATGCTCTTCTCTGTCCTTGCAAGAGACTTTGTTTACTTTGACTGATCATCCATCACACTTCTAGAAATGCCAGCCGAGATAAACCAAGAAAAGGTAGAACATGATCCAAAAGTAGCCATGATCATATTAACTGTAAACGCATGGAGCACTCACTCCCCTTAAAAGTCTAAGACCACTTATACTAAAGAAGAACAGAAACACACAGACAAAGCCACAGGGACAATTGCATAAGACCAACACTAAAAGTGAAACAGTAAAATCTGTCTGCCTCTCTCAAGCATGCTGTTTGTCATAATTATGCCACATAAGGGTATATTTTATACGAAAAATAAAGGGGTCCATGTAATATCATGGGGTGTGTTTTGGGGTTACAGCTGTGCATTGGCTCCCTTTAAGTTCAAGGTTTTGACGTCATCGCAGCATGTTCTCTGGTCAGAGTGGGAAGGAGGGTGTCAGACGCAGGAGGTCAGATCCGTAGGGACAGGCAGGTGTGCAGCGATAAGGCACTACAGGCTGGGCAATGCAGCGGTGAGGAGCAGGCTTCCGATAGAGCTGCATGAACAGCATTAACACACTGAGAAAATAAAGCCAAGCTGGAACCACCTTCCTAATACAAGGTGGACTTGAATAAACCGGAATTGCCTGGTTTAATCTGTAGGCTAGGCACAGAAAGACATATAAATCCTTGCGCTTGTCAGTGTCATGTTATAACAAATATTGGAATCGGTTGCCTTGGAGTTTGGTTCTGGAGTTTCCTGGCAGGGGTCTGGTGGCTCCATTCCTGCAGGGCCTGGGAGGGACACCTGGCAGAGCCTTCACAGAGAGGCAGGAAGAGGAGGAGAGGCTGGGCTCCCAGGGACCGGCGAGGTGAAGGTCCTGCGGAGCTCAGGCCAGCCGGGTAAGCGAAGGACATCCTGTCTGCTGGAAGGTGCTAGCGAGCGGAGGCCTCTCGGGGTGGCCCTTGAGTACGATTGTTACTTGCTTCGTCTGGGCTCTGAGCCTCAGCTTGCTGTCAGGTGTCCGGCACAATTACTTCTCTCTAACAGCGGACCAGGCTGAACTGAGGCCTGAACTCAGGGCCTGGGCACTGGGCCTGGCCTTTTTTTGCTCAAAGCTCGCACTCTATCACTTGAGCCGCAGCTCTACTTCCAACATTCTGGTAGTTAATTGGAGATGACTTTCCTGCCTGGGCTGGCTTTGAACCACGATCCTTAGATCTCAGCCTCCTGAGTTTCTAGGATTACAGGCGTGAGCCGCCAGTGTCCAGCTTTATTTACACAATTTTTATATCCTGATGGAGATACTAAGTTAGTTTATAATAATGCTGACTAAGTGAAGGGAACAGAATCAGCTTCCTGATCCCACCACTGTGTAAAGATTGCACACGTGAGCCGACCAGACTTGCGGAGTGGGGCTTCCTTCAGGCGGCAATGAATCCATCAGCGCAGAAGCCTTCAGGAGCAGTCTGTTCCCCTCCACCCAGGGCTGCTGCCCAGCGAGAATCCCACCCAGTTGCAGCCCTTCGGACTCTGGCTCCTGAGGAGTCTGAGAAGGACGTTCGAAGGTCACAGGTTCCTGAGCGCCAGCCAAACCCTGCATCACCTCCTCTGCCCACACCTCACCATCAAGAGCACGCTGCCCCCACAGGGGTAGAGAAATTACTAATTTATTAATTTTTATGTTTGTCGGTCGTGGGTCTTGAACCCTGGGCCTGGGCACTTGTCCCTCAGCTCTTCAGCTCAAAGCTGGCGCTCTACCACTTGAGCTACAACACCACTTCTGGCCTTTTCTGTGTATGTGGTGCTGAGGAATAGAACCCAAGGCCTCATGCATGGGAGGCAAGTGCTCTACCACCTCTCCAGCCCTGGCAAGTCTTATGCTAAGAGGAACTCTGTGGGAAAACTCAAAATAAGAAGGAGAGAAGGCCCTTCAAGGAAATTTCAACCTGTGACACTGAGAACGCAGCCCCCTGGCCGTCACAAGCATGGAGCAGCTGGGCTCCAGTGGCTCACCCCTGTAACTCTAGCTATGTAGGAGCCTGCAGTCAAGCCCCAGTACCAGCACACATACACAAAATGAGTGCTCAAAAGAACAAACCACGGTCACAGCAGTGTTGTGTAACAAATATGAAGAGAAGACATTCCTGCCTGGCCTCTGGTTGCGGCTGTGAGCCGGAGTGGCCAGTGGGTCAGACAGGGTCAGGGTGGTGAGCCGGGGGTAGCCGGCGGGTCAGACAGGGTCAGAGCTGTTAAAGCCCCTCATGTCTGGTAGGTGTAACAAGACTGTGTGGAAGATGCCTCTGACACATCTGCAAAAACTACGTGTGTGCGATGAGCAAAGTATTTTGGGGGCTGCCAGAAGTTCAAACTCCAGGTGAAAGGCTGAGTGCTGCTGTCTTTTCCTGCTGGGTGGCCTGAGCATTGTGCTGCCCTAAATAGTGCATTTCTTCCAAAATGGAAATGGGACCTTTGTGTAGATATCTGCTAGCCCATTTCTTCTTCTTCTATATCTATCTCTATCTCTCTCTATATATTTTCTAGAAGTTGATATTAAACACTATTCTAGTTGTCCTTTTCATTTGAGCTACAAATTATAAATTACGTGCTAATGATTCTTAAAAATTAAATCATATAAACTGATTTAAACAAATTTATATTAAAACAGAAGTTATCCACTCTCAAAGCCCAAGGTGTTGCAACCACATCACTACACTTACTCTCATTCGTGCAGTGGGTTTCTCTTGCTATTTAATCTCTTGAGTGACTAAAGCCCATCTTTGCAAACTCCACCCTCACATCAGTGAGCTTGAATGGACTTCCCTGTTGCAACGTACAGCCCTGTGATTTGCCTTAAGTTCACCAATGTGCGTACAGGAAGCAGAACTATCGGAAGCCACTGAGCCAAGGGAGGGCCGTCCTAGCCCAGCACCCATCCTGTTCCCGCCTGCCCGTTGCCACGCACACTTGTGCACTCTTCTTCCTCTCAACACAGCGTGCTTCTCATAGCCAGGAGATGGATAAGGGGCAGAATGAGCTCTCTGAGCTGGGCGCCCCCGCCGGCTCTGCCCCCACGGTGACCACAGCCACTGTGATCAAGATGCCCAGCGAAGTCTCCACGCCCGACCATGTGGTCTGGTCCTTCTTCAACACGCTCTTCATGAACACCTGCTGCCTGGGCTTCATCGCCTACATCTACTCTGTGAAGGTATGTGTGGTACTCGGTGTGGGAAGGAGCAGTGGTGCAAAGAGCACCAGGGGTCAAGAAGTACCACGTGCTGGGCACCGCTTGCGGTGTGTGTGTGTGTGTGTGTGTGTGTGTGTGTGCGCGTGCGTGCTGACTCTTCACAGGCAGGAACAGGGTGAGGCTGTCTATGGACCCTTAGGCTCAACGTTGGTGCCTGCTTTCAGCCTAGACAAATTCTCCATGAAGCCCAATTCAGTCTGCAGATGGTGGCACTGGGCTGTGTGGGCTCATGGGCTTGGCCTTTGGGTGTGTGGGCAGCCGGCACTGGGGTCTCTGGGACAGCTGGGTGCGTGGAGGGGGTGCTGGACGGAGGGATGGAGGAGCCGCAGTGGCAGGAGCGCTGGGCGCCTGGCTTCCGCCTGCCGCTCTAGGGGTCGTAACCATCCACTCTCTTCCAGTCTAGAGACAGGAAGATGGTGGGCGATATAGTGGGGGCCCAGGCCTACGCCTCTACTGCCAGAATCCTGAACGTCTGTGCCCTCATCATCAACATCCTCGCCGCGCTCATCCTCATCATTACGCTGGCCGTTAACGCTGCAGCAGTCCTGAGAGGAATGGGCGTCTAGTCCACCCCCGCCCTTTCCTCTCCTTGGCCGGCCCCTCACCTAGCCCCCCATCTGCCAACCCACCACGGCCCACTGCCATGTCCTCTTGCACCCCACCTGCGGGGGAGGGCGGTGTTTCAATAAAGCACACGTTTCTGAGTTGGTATGACTTCTCTGGGGAGCCTGTGTGAGGGGGCAGGGCGTGTCCTGGGGCAGCATCCGGCTGCGGAGGCCGCTGCTGACCAGTGTTCTCTCTGGTATTTTGCGGCTCTAGGCAGAGGTTCTGTGGCTGCCCTCCTGCCCCCATGCCCTCAGGTACCCTCAAGGGCACAGAGGACCGCACCTCCAGGAGCCACCAGCCTGGGGTGGGCACTCAGCACCATCCTGCCTAGAGTGGTGAAATCTCACTCCTTGCTTCTCCTGCGCCCAGGCAGAGCTGGATTCCTGGGGCTCTGCAAGCCTCTCCTGTGCATCTGGAAGTCTCGTGGATTCCTGGGGCTCTGCAGGCCTTGCCTGTGCATCTGGGGTCTCCGTGGATTCCTGGGGCTCTGCAGGCCTCGCCTGTGCATCTGGGGTCTGGTGGATGGACTCCGAGCCCCAGGTGGTGCCGCCCTCCATGCTGGCAATGTCTGATACATGTCGGGGGCCTGGGGTGGGCAGGCCCTGTGTGCAGTGGTGGCAGGGAGTCCCTGGCTCTGCGGCCGGACCGCAGCAGACTCTCGGTGACATATGCTGGGTACAGCTGAGGATTGCTGGCTGACGACCACCCCCGGGCTGGGGTCCTGGCACAGACCCACCCTCCCCCCTGCGCTGCGCCCACCTCTCCCCTGTTGTGCCCAGATAAGGGTCCCTGAAGACCACCAAGTTGCCAATTCCAATGCAAGCACAGGACAGCCTGGACTTACAACCGTCACCGATGCAGTGGCTCAGAGCTGAGAGCCCTGACTTCCAGTTTAGCAGGGTTTTTACTGTGGTTACTGCAAGGGTAGAGGATTTCCAGCTTAGCGGTTACCTGATTGGTTAACATTTCATGAGTGAGTCTTGTAAAATCTCATTGGCGAAAATGTACAGGCTAAGCCGTTAAGCAGCAAAATATGTTAACCATGCTATCTAAGACACATCTGGAGCTTTACTCTCCTGCTAGTTACTGATTGACGGCTGCTCGGGAGTTACTGGTCAGAGTGGTTGCAGTCATGTGGTTTTTCCAGGAACCTGAGCTCATATGGCAGTAAAAGTCTTTTTACAAAATGGCCTTAATATCCAGTATGGTTGCACTTTGGCCAGGCCAGGCTTCTCAAGACCAGGCCTGCAGACACTGGCTGTGTGAGTCAGGACCCCAAACCTTCCCGCCAGCCTGTCTCTGGCAGAGCAAATACACCCAGGTTGGGAGTACAGCCATCAGGGACAGCAACAGGAGTCTTTCCACTTAACACCCGGTATGAACCACTCTGTCCTACCCCTGTCTGAAGCCACTCTGAGGTCGGATGACACCACATGTTCAGATTCTTGAAATCTGCAAGCATCCTGAAGTAGGGAGACCGATCTGGCCCGCACCATATTGGCCACTTGGTATATAGTAGGGTCTTCTTGGTGGGGGAAGGGGAAGTCCCACCTCCCAGGTGATGGGCATGCCTGAATTCCTGGAGGCAGGGCAGGCATCTGGCTGATAGGTTACTAGCCCTGTCAGTCCAGTGCCCGGGACTGGGAATTTCCTGTGACCCTGCCTCCGGCCCTGGCCCTGTTTAGGCCCAGCCCAGCCCCGACATCGTGATGGTGATGCCATGGCCCGTGTCTCTGTGTTCCTGTCCTGTCTCCTGGCTGCTGGTCACCATGGCATTCCAGTCCAGCTCTCCAGTTGGAGCTGAATTGGTTTGCTGGTATTGTTTTGTTCGTTCTTCTCTCTATGGCCTTCATGGATCTGTTTCCTAACTGGGTTAAGTTTACTTGCTGCCTATAGGTCTTTGTAGTTGGTCACCTGCAGACAGACCACTAGCGTTCCAATAAAGACTCCAAAATCTGACCTCTCAAAATGTGGCTTCTCTATTTTCTCGTGGCTGGATTTATGACTGATTTAAGCTACAACAATCTCTCTGAGCAAATTCTGTCTGTACAGTTTTGAAAATACATGCCTGTAGCCCCCACACACAATAGTGATCGGGAATTCTCCATCCCTAGCCAGTCACTCAAATGGCAGTTTTTCTTTCTTTTCTTTTTTTTTTTTGGTTGGTCGTGGAGCTTGAACGCTGGGCCTGGGCGCTGTCCCTCAGCTCTTCAGCTCAAGGCGAGAGCTCTCTACTCCTTGAGCTACAGAGTCACCTCCGGTTTTTGAGTGGTTTATTGGAGATAAGAGTCTCATGGACTTTCCTGCCTGGGCTGGCTTTGAACTGTGGTCCTCAGATCTCAGCCTCCTGAGTAGCTAGGATTACAGGTGTGAGTCACTGGAGCCCGGCCAGTTTTTCTTAATACAAGAATTACAAGCACACCAGCATGATGCAAAGAATCCAGATTTAACAAAATTAAGGAATTTCAGTACCCTTTTGTTTTTTCCAAATATGCATCTGATTGAAAAATAGCACTGAAGCCAAATAATATCACAAATTAACTTTTTTTTAACCTTCCTTCAAAGCTTTCCCAGTAGGGGCAGTTTTAGGATTACTAATCCTATCACCCACATTACTATCAGGTTTCCAATGTCCAGAAAAGAGACAGAGTGAAGCCGGGCCTCCTGCCCATCCTATAGGGCATTGTCCATCCGATTCCTTAGGGTTGGGTGCTACACCTTGGTGCCAGCTGACCACCCTCCCCACGAATGGACCCCTGTGTGGGCCTCACCCACCATGTGTGGGCTGGCTAAGATGCACTTTTGCCAGGTCAACCCTCACCCCTTGAAGACAGGCCCATTGGCTCATCCTGTTTTCCATGTCCCGTTTTTTTTTTCTTGATTCTGACTGAGATAAAATCCAAAACAGTTCTAGACAAACAAAATGACAATGTCTTTTACAGTGATAAACAAACCTTCATACTCAAATATCTGATACTTATCCCCAAATTTTAACAGTGGAGGGAAATAAATCCTAGTCTTCAAGATATTTAAATTTTGCTAAGCCAGATAGCTCTTGATTACAGTGCTAACAGCTACATGCATACCGGATTTTCTTGAACATGTTCACACACACATTTTTGCACAAAAATCTTATAGCACACAAAATGAATATGGGCTGTACATTTTCTGGAATTTCAGTGGCAAGGGATTTTTTTTTTTTTTTTTTTGCCAAGAACAAGTAGAATCTCTTACAGATGACCAAGATTTAAAACAAAACTTTGCTAACAAATTACCAACTCACCTTAGCATCCCACAGCCCCATTTTTCCAGGGCTTGCTTGTGTTAGCAAGGTATGTTAGCATACCAATGGACCTTAGAATATCTTCAGATGGAGGAAGGGAGGGGTTACCTGAAGCTAATCTCTTAGCCTACCTGGTTGGCTGAACAAGAGCACTGTACAATTCCAATTCTAAGAACCAGGACTGAAGCCTCCCATACTCTACCTCCAACATCCAATTGTGATGCTGAGCAGGCTGCAGCTTTAGCCAGATGCTATATGGCTAAATGAAGAGCCAAGACACAGAAAGCAAGAATCCATATTACCAAGACAGACAAAACCGAAGGCTGAGTTGGGGCCTAGTGGGCCCTCGGCTCAGGCCTAACCAGAACTCTCTACAGTGTAGTATGAGAGTGGGTCCTTCCTACTCAACAAACCAGCACCCCACCTCATCAGCATGGGGGGGACAGAGGGTGGGTCTTGAGCATGTACGCTTCTCTTACCTCTCCATTTTCAGACAGATCAATCCCCAGAATAAGAAAAAACATACTAACAGACAACAGACAGACACTTACTCTGGAGGTCTCCTGAGTGACTCCAAACTCCAAAAAGAGTTAGTGGCATGTCTGGTGTCCAGGAGCCTGTCTGTTGAAGTGGTGGAAGATCAAGTGGTGTTTGCCCTACAGAGTCTCCTGTACTCCGGCAGCCTGGATCCCTGAGGCCATTTGCCTGTGACTCACAGAGCCCAGATGCGCTCCTTGGCACTGGGATCCTGCTGGCCTCCAAATGTCGTAAGGTAACTTGATTGTGAGAAACAGAGAAGCTACGTTGGGAGAGGTTGAATTGGGAGTCTTTAGTGGAGAGCTGGCGAATGCAGGTAGACTCCTGTCACAAAGGCCTACAGCCCCTCAAATACACTTAACACTGTTAGAAAACTGAGCCATGAGAGCAGGAGAGAAAAGTAAGAGCAGAAAAACAATGCCAACAACCCAGATCCACCCCAGCGGAGAGCTGAAGGGGGACGCCATGCTGACTGAGGAGAGCCAGGAGACACGGAAGCTCGTGAGCATGAAGCATGGCGTCCTGGTGGCTGAGCTGGTTTGGGCCTAACGAGGGGCAGGGGCAGGGAGCAGGGTCACAGGAAACCCAGGAGTCTCCCAAGTTCAAGGCACAGGACTGACAGGTCCAGTAACCTATTGTCCAAGTCCCTAACCCTGCCTCCAGGAATTCAGGCACACCGTGGGAATCTAGAAACCGAACTGTGAGGTCTGACAGGGAAAGAGAATGGGAATGCCATTCTCTGACAAGACTCTCAGAATGCTGGAGGTTGCCCTGGAAAGATCAAACAATCCTGGCTTAGCAGAGATTCAGATTTCTACCTGAAATGTGAGCTGTCTGGGAGCCTGATGTCAGATAAAAGCTTGTGAAAACTGCCACTTCCTAAGATAAGGAAGTCAGTTATCACTTGTACACAAAATCAAGTCACATGTTGGTGTTTGTATCTGCAAAGATATGGTACCATACTTCCTTCACATACTCCCCGGTACTAAACTCAATAAATACACTTGTTAGCGGGACCTCCAGTATCTGAAGCTGGTGGAACACTTCAGATCCCCTGGTGCCCCCCACACCACAGTCCACAGCCAGTTCCCGTCTCCGATACTACCTGGTCACGGTGGATTACCACACATCCCCACACCCTGGGAGGTGGGGCTTCCCCTTTCTCCACCATAAAGACAAGATGGCACCTGTTAAATCCAATTCCTTATCCACCATGTAGCCAAGATGGTGCTAGTTAGACCCATGCAGCTGGGGCTAAGGCATTAACAGATCCGGGAC